CATGGACACAGGATCATTAAAGCATCTTCAAAACAAAGAAAAAGGACATTACAATGAACATCATCCAAAGCTATGCACCTACCAATGACTACAAAGACGACGTTAAACATCAGTTCTACGAAAGGCTGCAGTCAATCGTCGACAGATGATCACCAAAGGATTTGACCATTCTGATGAGAGACCTAAATGCCAAGGTTGGTATAGACAACACTGTATATGGAGACATGATGGAACGACATGGACTGGGAGAAAGGAACGGAAACGGTGAGAGATTTGCGAACCTATGTGCTTTCAACAAACTGGTCATCGGTGGCACAATATTCCCACACAAGTGCATACACAATGCCACATGGATTTCACCGGATCACATCATATCTGTATAAATAAATAGTTCAAAAGGACTATGGAGGATTTGAGAACCAAGAAAGGAGCTGACATAGCATCAGATCACCACTTGCTGATCTGCAAAATGAAACTGAAACTAGGGAAGAACTAGACAGCGGGGCAGTAAACATCACACAAGTTTAATACAGCCTTTCTTCGGGATACCTCAAAACTCAACTCTACTCAATAGAGAGGAAACAGCCATGGAGAACTTTCGGAAAGGGGTCAAAGGGACAATCACTTCAACATGTCACGAAGTTCTGGGTCACGAAAAAACATCATCACAAGTAATGGATCTCTAGTGGAAAGGGAAGAAGAGCATCAGAGTTGACAAACAAAAATATATGGATGATCTAGCAATGATGGCGGAAAAGGCTGCAAGAGCAGGAAACTTGAGGCAGTTGTACGAAACAACAAAGAAGCTCGCTGGAAACTATCGTAAAGCAGAACGATCAGTGAAAAGCAAGGAAGGCAAAGTAATCAGCAACACTGAAGAACAGCGAAATAGGTGGGTAGAACACTGAACCCACCCAACATCGAAACAGCATCTACGGACCTCTCAATCGATGTTGGGGCACCTACAATTGAAGAGATCAGTATGGCCATCAGACTAATCAAGAGCGGCAAATCAGCAGAACCAGACAACATTCCACCAGAGGCAATGAAAGCAGATGTGGAAGCAACTGCAAAAATATTTCACATCCTCTTCAAGAAGATTTGGGATGAGGAACAAGTACCATCAGATTGGAAAGAAGGATATCTCATCGAAGTACCAAAGAAAGGCGATCTCAGCAAGTGTGAGAACTACAGAGGCATCGCTCTTCCCTCAGTACCAGGAAAAGTCTTCAACAGGGTATTGTTAAACAGAATGAAGGACTTCGTAGACGCCCGACTTCGAGATCAACAGGCTGTATTCCGTAAGGATCGGTCGTATACCGACCGAACGGCAACATTACGGATCATTGTGGAACAATCGATCGGATGGAACTCACCAATTCGCATCAAATTGATTGACTACAAGAAAGAATTTGATGGCGTAGATAGTACAATAATGTAGCTCATCCGACACTACGGCGTGCCTGAGAAGATAGTTAACATCATACGGAACTCTTATGATGGATTCAACTGTAAAATCGTGCACGGAAGTAAGCTGACAGACTCGTTCGAGGTGAAGATCGGTGTCAGGCAAGGTTGCTTACTCTCACCCTTTCGCTTTCTCCTGGTGATCAACTGGTTTATGAAGACGTCGACATCTGGAGGGAAGCACGGTATCAAATGGACAGCCAGGATGCAGATCGATGATCTGGACTTCGCAGACAATCTGGATCTTCTATCGCACACGCAACAACAAATGCAAGACAAGACGACCAGTGTAGCAGCAGCCTCTGCAGCAACAGGTCTCAACATACATAAAGGGAAAAGTAGGATTCTGCGATACAACACAACATGCACCAACCAAATCACTCTCGATCGACACGCCTTCGAGGACGTTAACACCTTTACATATCTTGGCAGCATCATTGACGATCAAGGTGAATGCGATGCAGATATGAAGGCGCGGATCAGCAAGGCAAGGGCTGAATTTCTAAAACTGAAAAATATCTGGAACTCCAAACAAATATCAATCAACACCAAAATCAGGATTTTCAATACAAACGTCAAGACAGTTCTACTGTATGGAGCGGAAACTTGGGAAACTACGACAGAAGATACAATTATTAATTACCATTAGTCTACGCAGAATACTTCGGATCCATTGGGCAGACACTAGTAGAGATAGAACGAAACAGATTCCGGCGGAGGAAATGAGGAATAAGCAGTGGAAGTGGATAGGACACATTAAGAAAAGCACCTAACTGCGTCACAAGACAAGCCTTCACTTGGAACCCTCAAGGCAAAAGGAAAAGAGGAAGGCCAATGAACACGTTACGATTTGTGAAGTGCCCATTGCTTAATCACAAACTAATCAGAAAAAATTATTGATTACTCTCTGAGTTTCAATAGTTCTCCACCTTTTCTCCGTTCAAGACAAAAGTCTGTTTTCGAATCGAGATAATCAACACCACTCGTTACAAAATAAACAATAACCTTGTGCTCACACAATAGTTACAGATTTCTGAAACTTTTCACCGAAAATCCTGATTGGTGTGATAATAAAACTAAGTGATGTTCGCAACTTATTCTAGATAGTACATACTCAGTATACAAGTGAATCTAAACAAATGGGACGTTTTTAATTTTATAATTATGATAACAAGCCAATGAAATGATTTTATTTAATCTTTGACCTAGTTTACCGACAGTTAAACAAGTATGTATATATACAAAGAGATGTTATGAGCCTAGATATGAGAACGTGTGTCCATACGTGCATGTGTTGATAACTTTTTTTCATGCCGTCCCATGAGCTAGTTTATGTGATAGACCTAGCCTACTAGGGGTAAATAATCGATCCAGACAAGTAGGTCATTTTTTGTGAATAAAATGAAAGTCAAATATGCAAACAGAAACTCTTGATAATTGTTCATACAAAATAATAGGACAGTAAACCCGGATAGGAATTTCAAAACATTTAAGCGTGATCCCTGACACTTATTTCGGTATTGCATAAAATCCTAAATACATAAAAGTGATAATCAAACAAATTACTGTGATGTAAAGCTGAACAATGTTCCTTACAGTCGCCATTCAATAAAAAATGAATGCGATTTGAATTAACATGACGTTGAGTGGAATGATGATAAAAAGATGGCCGTTTATGAGAACCTAAGCAGCAATCCATTTGGGGACATTACAATGGAGCTAGTATTAGGGTTGACGCTAGCTGCTCATTATCCCGAATAGTAAATAATAATTGCCCTCGGAATAGCAACAGACGCAGTGATGTTTTGTTGATGCTGAACATCAATAAATACGATAAGTGCACCGTAATTAGTAGGATGATGTAAAGGCATTGATAATTCTTGCTGAAAACAAATCTATGTAAACGTTACTGAGAGACTATACGTGACAACTGCTGATAAGTGAAACTCGATGGAATCAGGTTTCAACTTAAGTTTAATGGTTGAAAGGCAGATGAATTAAACACTGACTTACTGAGATAACCAGAGAATTACTGTATTTTAGTAATTCGGAATCGCCAAAATTCAATCTTACTGTTTTACCACAATATCCACTAAAACTATATTTATAATGTCTAATGCGAACAAGTTTATTTCATACTGTTTGAGTTTCCCCTATCTAAATTTGTTAAAAATTCCGTCTAGACGGCGTTTTATTCAGACATACGCAATGTAAGACCTAGCACATGTAGACATTGGTTTAAGTGACCAAACCGCATTAGTATGAGAAATCGCTAGAGGGTTCTCTCATGTAAGTGCACTTTATCCACGTACTTTTATACTCAGATATCATGCTAACTGATCAACCGGTTGAGCCAGCCTTTATTTCGGAGTACTATTATTTGTAAACCTGATTTTCATTTAGAGTTTGTCAAATCTTTTAATTTTTATTTTATACATTACTAAAAGAACTGAGTATATCTTGCTGACGATTCTCCGATAGAAATGTGGTTGAATTACACAGAATATAAGGTAATGACCTCTTCCATAAAGAATCGACAAAATGATGTGAAACATGCGATTAAATTTTCATTAAAAACCAATCAGTTGGCCAAAATATAGTTCTCTACATGAAATGGACCTAGCAACCATTCTATACAAACATAAGAACGATGCATAATCTTGTAAATATAGTTTGATACTGAAAAAAATTCAACTGGATAGCGAGTTAAAAAAATTAATATATTAGAAAGAGTTTTATTAAAACACAGATGTAAAGAAAAAGATAAAACGGGTTTAGGCAAGTAGACACAAGAAGCTCAATTATTTATTTTCCTAAAAACCAAGAAACTTAAATAAAGAAACCAAAATTAGTAGAAATAAAACCAAACAAAATAGAGGATAATAAACTTATGATATACAAAGTAATCTATTACACAGATAAGTGGATAGAATTCGGTGAACAACTTACAAAAGTTTTATGCTTTACTTTATTAATAGACTGAAATCTATCACAACTTACAGTATCATAATTTTGATTATGAAAAGCGATAAGCAATAAAGTGGTCTTTTGTATATAGATAACCTAAAAGTGATCACTCAGCTATGAACAAATTTTATTTTTTAAAATGGCAAAAGTAACAATCATGAATTTGATGTAAGTACATACTAAAAAAGTGATACTAAACATACCTGATTAAAGGCGCATAAATGATATTTATAAACAATGTTGTATAATATATAAAGAATTATAGTTCGAAACACTGTGAGAAAATTTTAGGTTTGGGACAGAGAGTACGTACAAAAATGTTAACAAGTATACTAGGTTACCTGATACTTATTCAATTTTCAAGACTAAAATCACGACTATTGTACTTATATTAAAAAGTAAGAAAACAGAGTTAAACAAAAAAACAATTAGCTTCGGTGCACTAACTGAAAAAATATGCAATAAATTACCGACAAAGGATTGAAAAGTAAACAGGAAATAGATTAGTTAAAATAAACATTTACAATCTTGAATTAAAAAGGAAGAAATATCTTAGTCCCAGAAACTTATACTCGTTTGGCTGCCGTTGGTCTCACTGAGTTGCATCCAGATGGTTGTGGGAAGTAAGAAAAGAAATGTCGAGTTGGTTTCAAGTCATTAAGAGGCATAGCCTGAAGCACTTCATCCAGCAACTGTAAAGGCCTGAAATAAAGCAAAAACACAACACAAGAAAACATGAGAAAGACTATAAACAATTAACAAGTTTTAGTGATATACAATATACTGAAATTTTTAAGTTCATATGGATTTTTATGGTATTCTAGTGCTAGCCAGCAATGAAATCCTCGACAAAAATCTAATCCTCTAGGAGGTACTATATTCTACCTGAATAGTGATTTAACTCTTACATCTCTAGCAAGTTTTGTTCACTATAATTAACAAAAACAGTGAACGGTAAAGAGACAATACATTAGAAAAATCTTTCAGAAAGCGCGAAACATTGTCAGTGTCTGCTCAGCTGACTTTACAATTTTTAGTTGCCCGTCGCTGTTCTCGAAATCAATTTTTTTAACTGCATGGGACTATGAATGTGGTTAGTTATAAGAAGCAGTAATTTGCCAAGTTCCACATGGTACTGAAATATTAAGTAAGAAAATAAATTTAAGTGAGTCATACCTGTGCAACTGTATTTCAATCCAACAAGGTGTTTCTTTGATGCTACGTCTAGGATAATCTGGACCCCATCCTTTAACAAAACTCAAACGAAGCATACAAAGACGTCTAAGATCATCCACCCCAACCCCAGCAGTAGCCATAATAGATGCCCCTGTACCTAATGCACCAGGCAAAGACCCTGGAGTAGACTGGTTGGAACCTAGAGGTAGCGCAACAGGTAGCTGAGATAACAGGTCGCTTGTCGTCGGCGAACCAACAACAGCTGCAGCTTGTCGAACAGCGGCAGCATGAGAGGATTGAGCAAGAGACTTCATTTCTTCATGACACTGTCTGATATCGAAAACCTAATATTAAAAGAGAATGAAAGTTATGTGAGTTAATATGATTAAACGGAATAAAAATGAAGTGGATATTTTTCAAAAAATGATTATCAATAAACTCGTAATACTGAAACAATTTTGCAACCATTCTTCGTGCCAAAGATACTTGTCATAAGTAAAAAAGAAATATTTCAGCAATTATTGTTCACCAACTTCAGCGAAAGTAAAACCGAAACATTCCACCCACGAACAAAACTGTGTGCATCGATAAGAAAACACCAGCATTTTATGTAGTAATCACCAAACTTTATTTAAGGGAGATTTTATTAAATTAGGATGAGAACCAGTTGAGATAATACATTCCATATATCGCATCATTTAAAACCGACATTGTACCTTGATATAAGCTCCAGGATATATCTTATGGACAGCATCCCCAGGTGCACGGCCAGCTTCTCTATCCAAATAATAGCTTTGTACGAATACAGAGAACTCGGAAAGACAGCGAATCCAAACATCACCTTCTCCAACGTTATCTAGTTCTACACCTTTGCCAATATAAAGTCTCGACTTTTCGGACTGCTCAGACCTGTTAAAAATAATATCCAATTTTTATGATTTAGTGGTATACCAAATATTAACCCACAAAACTGGAACATCAGAAACAATAGACAAGAACCTGTTCGATAAACATTGATTCGAAAATTAATTTTTAAAGTAGTATATTAAGGTACTTTGGAACCAAAGTGATTTAAGCCACAAGCACTGATTATTGTATCTGAATATCCACATTCAAAAAGCACTCGTACTTAAATAATGATTGGTTTTATAGCAAGCTACATCAGGTAGTCTTGTTCGACGGGTACCGCTTCAATTTAGGAAAAGCTTGAAATGGATATCCAAAAGATGAGACTAGAGCATCTCAATTACGATTAGAAACAATGAGTCTATATTTTTGCATGATTAATATCATGTTTGTAAGAGTAAGTATGCTTGGTCGCATGTTATAGCCAACACACATTGCTTTTGTGGTTGCTTAAACCACTTTCTTATATATACATACACATGCTTTTTAAATCTTCTTAATTCGTCCTCCATTATTCACTCACATTTGCATATCTGTTCGTATCCACCTCGTGTTCTTATAACTTTATGATCTGAACTATGTGAAAATAGACTGAGGTCAACGCTTCGCCCTGTCTTCTGAAATCCATAGAGCCCTGAGATTATATGATAACGGTTATCAGGACTAGTAATATATGAAGCATAGAAATTAACCACTACAAGATCTTATTCATATAAACTGTTATGTCAAAGGATTACGATTCTTAATAATAGACTTGTAAATAATGGCTAACCTTAATTACTCGCTTAAAGAAATAAAAACTGACCAATACAAGTAACGAAAATATATGACGTTCAAACGGTTTGTATGGTGTTTTTAATATTGATAGCTGCTTATAGTAACACAATATAAAATAGAAGGGTAGATTGCAAAAGCCGGAAAACAAGAAACAAGCACACGTAAGTTGAAATTCAGACATTACAGAGAAAGCGGAGATGAAATATAATTGGTTGATAACACTTCTGAATAAAAAGAAATGATATCAAAACAGCGAAATGTTATTTTACTATATTTTACATTATGAAGTAAACTCCGCCTGTAGTCTCATCGGGGCTACTGCCGGCCCCAAGCCCGGAAAAAGGAGGAAGGGTTGGACATGCGGTTGGCGCCCCTATCCCGACTAAAAACTAACTTGCCAAAAAAACGCTAACAACAACAAATAATTCAAACCATCTTCACTCTGCCCTGGGAGTTGAAAGAAGAATTATGACGTCGCGTGATGAAAGCCGAGTTCCCTCGGAAGTCATGAGGCTGACGCCCCTTCTGAGAACCAGAACAACCATTATTTTAGGTACATGGAACGTGCGAACATTGTGGGAGACTGGAAGACTATTTCAAGTTGCAGCAGAAATGAAAAGATACAACCTCGAGGTGCTCGGCATCGGTGAGACGCATTCGACAGAAGCAGGACAACTGAGATTAGCTTCAGGGGAACTGCTGTTATACTCTGATCATGAAGAGGAAACTGCTTCATATACACAAGAAGTTGCACTGATGCTGTCCAAACAAACACAAAAGGCACTGATAGGATGGGAATCTCATGGACACAGGATCATTAAAGCATCTTCAAAACAAAGAAAAAGGACATTACAATGAACGTCATCCAATGCTATGCGCACCTACAAATGACTACAATGACGACGTTAAACATCAGTTCTACGAAAGGCTGCAGTCAATCGTCGACAGATGATCACCAAAGGATTTGACCATTCTGATGAGAGACCTAAATGCCAAGGTTGGTATGGACAACACTGGATATGGAGACATCATGGAACGACATGGACTGGGAGAAAGGAAAGAAAACAGTGAGAGATTTGCGAACCTATGTGCTTTCAACAAAGTGGTCATCGGTGGCACGATATTCCCGCACAAGCGCATACACAAAGCTACATGGATTTCACCGGACCACACTACTCAGAGCCAAATCGACCATATCTGTATCAATAAAAAGCTCAGAAGAACTATGGAGGATGTGAGAACCAAGAAAGGAGCTGACATAGCATCAGATCACCACTTGCTGGTCGCTAAAATGGAACTGAAACTAGGGAAGAACTAGACAGCGCGGCAGTAAACATCACACAAGTTTAATACAGCCTTTCTTCGGGATACCTCAAAACTCAACTCTACTCAATGGAGAGGAAACAGCCATGGAGAACTATCGGAAAGGGGTCAAAGAGACAATCACTTCAACATGTCACGAAGTTCTGGGTCACAAAAAGACATCATCACAAGGAATGGATCTCTGGTGGTACTCTTGCAAAAATTGAAGAAAGGAGGAACAAGAAGGCAGCAATCAATGTCAGCCGAACAAGAGCAGAGAAAGTTACCGCACAAGCTGCATACACGGAAGAGAACAGGGAAGTGAAGAAGAGCATCAGAGCTGACAAACGAAAATACGTAGAAGATCTAGCAATGATGGCGGAAAAGGCTGCAAGGGAAGGAAACATGAGACAATTGTACGAAACAACGAAGAAGCTCGCTGGAAACTATCGTAAAGCAGAACGATCAGTGAAAAGCAAGGAAGGCAAAGTAATCAGCAACACTGAAGAACAGCGAAATAGGTGGGTAGAACACTGAACCCACCCAACATCGAAACAGCATCTACGGACCTCTCAATCGATGTTGGGGCACCTACAATTGAAGAGATCAGTATGGCCATCAGACAAATCAAGAGCGGCAAATCAGCAGAACCAGACAACATTCCACCAGAGGCAATGAAAGCAGATGTGGAAACAACTGCGAAAATATTTTACATCCTCTTCAAGAAGATTTGGGATGAGGAACAAGTACCATCAGATTGGAAAGAAGGATACCTCATCGAAGTACCAAAGAAAGGCGATCTCAGAAAGTGTGAGAACTACAGAGGCATCGCTCTTCCCTCAGTACCAGGAAAAGTCTTCAACAGGGTATTGTTAAACAGAATGAAAGACTTCGTAGACGCCCGACTTCGAGATCAACAGGCTGTATGCCGTAAGGATCGGTCGTATACCGGCCAAACGGCAACATTACGGATCATTGTGGAACAATCGATCGGATGGAACTCACCAATTCGCATCAAATTGATTGACTACAAGAAAGAATTTGATGGCGTAGATAGTACAATAATGTAGCTCATCCGACACTACGGCGTGCCTGAGAAGATAGTTAACATCATACGGAATTCTTATGATGGATTCAACTGTAAAATCGTGCACGGAAGTAAGCTGACAGACTCGTTCGAGGTGAAGATCGGTGTCAGGCAAGGTTGCTTACTCTCACCCTTTCTCTTTCTCCTGATGATCGACTGATTTATGAAGACGTCGACATCTGGAGGGGAGCACGGTATCAAATGGACAGCCAGGATGCAGATGGACGATCTGGACTTCGCAGACAATCTGGATCTTCTATCGCACACGCAACAACAAACGCAAGAGAAGACGACCAGTGTAGCAGCATTACGTCTCAACATACATAAAGGGAAAAGTAGGATTCTGCGATATAACACAACATGCACCAACCAAATCACTCTTGATGGAGATGCCTTGGAGGACGTTAACACCTTTACATATCCTGGCAGCATCATTGACGATCAAGGTGAATGCGATGCAGATATGAAGGCGCGGATCGGCAAGGCAAGTGCTGCATTTCTACAATTGAAAAATATCTGGAACTCCAAACAAATATCAATCAACACCAAAATCAGGATTTTCAATACAAATGTCAAGACAGTCCTACTGTATGGAGCGGAAACTTGGGGAACTACGACAGAAGATACAATTATTAATTACCATTAGTCTACGCAGAGTACCTCGGATCCGTTGGGCAGACACTAGTAGAGATAGAGCAAAACAGATTCCGGCGGAGGAGGAAATGAGGAAGAAGCAGTGGAAGTGGATAGGACACACTACGAAAAGCACCTAACTGCGTCACAAGACAAGCCCTCACTTGGAACTCTCAAGGCAAAAGGAAAAGAGGAAGGCCAAAGAACACGTTACGCCGAGAAATAGAGAAAGACATGAGAAGAATGAACGAAAACTGGACATAATTGGAATCGGAAGCCCAGTACAGAGTTGGTTGGAGAGGACTGGTGTGCGGCGTATGCTCCATTGGGGGTAAAAGGCGAAAGTAAGTAAATACATTATGAAGTAAGTGAAGTGACGACTACGTCATCTCACAAGAATCAAACCGGTAGTATTGTTAGATTTGATTAGATTAGAGCGATATGGAGCCAAATAACTGTTATGTAACTCAGTAACTAAGTGTGATTTAGTGTATTCGAATATGATTTACAGTCGTATGAGATCGAGTGATACTATGTGGTTACCTGAATCGAAGATAAGAAGTCTCGACCGTAAACTTAACGTATGGAACTCGAATAGTATCAGCATCGAGACATTAAACAGGAAGGAATAATATAAATATCTTTTATTGATTTTTAAAATGTTACTAATAAAACAGTGGAAACAGGTTAGTTAAACAATAAAAACGTGTGGCTCATTTTTTCGCTACTAAGCTATCATAAAAATGTCTATGAAAAACGCAAAATGAGAAATACTGTTCCGTCAGATAAAGTGTGAAACAATATCTTTGAGTTCTTTTGTTGCTTGCAATCTGAAAGATCACCAGTTCCTTATATCTGCAGTTACAGGATTAACTTCACACTACCACACACCACCACAATCATCCACCTGAGCTACAAATTTTCCCCACCATCTTCACATTACTCTAGACTAGCTTAACTTCTGCACCAACTATAAATGTGGTTGGCAGATTTCTCAGTGGATGGGGTATCCATCTTCTTGAAATGAGTTATTAAAATCTATAGAGCCAGTCATAAGTAACGTAAGTCTAGCTTGATTATGCATCGGCTTAAGTTGTTTGGAGGAGAATCGTTAGCTAATTGAATTTTTACCAGATATCAAGCGTAATCTGTTACTCAGCTGAAGCGGTGACATGAAATGTCAATGTCATAAAGGATAGAATTAGTTACAACCTTATAAAAATGAACCAATTTACAACTGCGATTACAAACCCAAGAGCGCAATGAACCTAAGTTCCGAAATAAGCGGTATAAGAAAAGAATCAGTCAATATTCCCGAGACTTACATCTATCATCGAGTTAATAACAACACAAAATTATAGTCAGATTTACATGGCACAATAGCTAAGTGTTCAAAATAATCAACTTTGAAACCTTCGCTATAATTAACCGAGTACCATCCTTAGTATGCTATGTGAAGTATTTTTCACGGTTCAGTGGAAGTTTTTTTAGGTGATGAGATCTCGACACGGAAGAAGAAGACTTGGTTGACTTTTGCTAACTTGAGTCATTTATAGCGTCGTCGAGATACCCATCTATCAACCAGAGGACGAGTCCACTGCGCAGCAGTTCACTCCGTCCTATTTTACGGCTGTGAAACATAGCCAGTAAGAGTAGAACATATCTGTAGGTTACTGGATTTCGATAATAGGTGTCTTCAAAGCAATGTTCCTATATCCTGGGACTACCGAGGAAGAAATGCTGGTGTTAGGAAATAGGCTGTGGGTAAGGATGGCAGATCAGTTGATGAAGTAGTGAATTTTCATCAGTTGACGTGCTTGGGATACATATTATGTATGCCTAATCACCGACTACATCGACAAGTGATGTTGCCTAATGTAGGGGTAGGCTGGAAGAAAGCTAGGGACGGCTAAACCAAAACATGGCACAAATCCGTGGCTGCATTAACCACGTTAGTGGGTGTAGACTACCTGGTTGGGCTCCGAGAGTCAGTTGTAACCGAGGGTTAGAGACTTTGAATGACAGTTTAAAATTGTTTGCAGTGGCGCAGATACATTCGTTCTTTGTGTTCTCTAATATTCTGAATTCCTAACAACATTTCTTCTCTTAAATTTATTTCAGTGGATGATACTTCTTGAATCTTATATTCGATTCCTAATCTTCTCCATTACTGCTAATACTTCTACTACCTATATTACTATGGTATTTGAATTGAGAATTGCGTTTCTGTGCTAATGTGGTATGGAAAATAGAACTGATGCACGTAAATACCAAATTCTACGTTGTAATTGACTGACTAGCTGATAAAACTCGGATAGTACACTAAAGAGGATCTGACCAAGTACGCAAACAGAAATTAAAAGATGAACTTACCGGTGTACATTTGATAATTGTCCAAGACAAAAACGATTCGGACTAGAAGGATCTGTATATCCATCAACAGTGACGCGTGAATACTGGCTTGGAACTTTAAACAATTCACCAACTTGCTGATCAAGTTCAAAATAAGCAATGTTGCACCAGTATTCAGGAGGACGTTGTGTAGTTAGGACTGGCAATGGCTACAAGTAAGAAGCAGATAGAAAAGGTTTCTGTATCATATGAAGCGATAAACTACTGAGATTTAAAACTAATTACGACTTAGTAGTACTACATGACACAAAAATGATTATGTACGAAATTTTAACGACAAAGAATTTTGATAATACTATCAAATTCATCATTTCTACATATTCAGAAAATTAAATTCTGTAGTACGTTAATAAAATGACAGGCAAATAAATTCAACACGAATACCTGAAATGTACTGATTCATTGTTTCGAAATAGTTGCAACACATCTGACATTCACAACACTATTAGACTAAACGATTCAACGATTTAGAACACTTAAACGATGAACCAACATACCAGAAATGTCACAAGCCTCATGGGTGATGGAGATTCTGAAACTAACTAGTCGCACTGAAAAATTGATCAAGTAAACCGTAAAGATACATAACACTTAAAAATTCAGATTGCGATTACCATCGCACTTGTTTTGTCACAAAAGGTTGATACGTTTCGATAGTGTTAAAACAGCCTATGTATAAATAACCACTAATTAGCTTTATTTATAGGTATCATCTCCGTAAATTGAAGCCTTTACTGGTATTATTTACTTTGTTCCGTTCAGAATCTAGGAGTAGCAAGCTTAATATATTAGCAGCATATCTTGACATGAACAAGTGAAATCTAGAGAAAAACTACGGATATTAGGAGTGAACTGTCAGTATCACGTTCAAATTCTAGTCCCTAAAACCAATTATAGTCATCACAAAAACAAAATTCCTGTGCACTGTTAAGAACATTAAAACTATATCCAAAGCCCCATGTTTTAAAAAGACGGAACGAATAAAGACTCACTTGGAGTATAGACCCAGAAGGAGTGAATGGTGGAGCAGGTGGACCCCTACGATTGCCCCATCCACTCCCACCAGCCCCCGCCGCACCACCTACTCCACCACAAGGTGCACCACCAAAACTAGACCCTCCAGTATTACAACCGCTCGCAGTTCCTGAAGACCCACCAGTGCGTTTATTAGAGCTGTTATTTACAGCACCATTAGTGTTGCCAGATAAACAAACTGGAGACGTAATTGAGGAATATATTTGTGGAACAAAACTGCCGGCTATGGAGGTGTTACTTTGGACAGGCGTAAATATCATAGACGGATCGGTTGAGCACGTGAATACATCCATCGTCCTAATCGTAGACAAACTTACAGGAACTGAGTTCGAGTATGCAAATGGGTCTTCCACGACAGATGTGTTTTCCGATTCTATAGAATTATCCTTCGAGAAGTTAGAAGACTGAATAAATGCAAATGCATGGCTTGGGTTAGCAATACCTGACCAAGCCATAGTGTTCTGTCCTTTATCCAAATATGGAGCCGGGTTGACTCTGGATGTCGAAATGCTTTCTGAGAGTACTGTAGATGAATCGGCTTGTGAGTTGGACGATAGAGAAGTTTGTTTCAATTCACATTCTTGATTTTTCGAAAAGCCTGAAAAGAAAGGTATCTTTATCACTAAACAAGAGTTCATTATTAATGAATCAACGTTCTAAAAAGTATCGAGTGAGGACTATTACTATTGAAGAAGGATACGAAAAATGAGTCTGAATGTTCAAACATAGATTATTGATTTTTAGTAACGGTTAATTCTTTCAGGGTCATACATATTAGTATTCGAAATCCTGACTTGATGAATGGATGAAGTTAGTAATTATTAGGATGACTGAACAGAACCATGACCAATAGATAAGACTCAATGACGTAACGTGATAGAATGATAGCTGCTCGTGAAACTGGGGTGAAAATTTAAACCCGAATGGAATAAATACCACCGAGTAGATCTAATAAAATAACATTGCTTACTCACTTGCTTACGGCTATTACCCCTAATGGACCATAGGCTGCCGATCAGCATTCTCCAACCTACTCTGTTCTGGACCTATGTTTCAAGTTTCACCCAGTTGCTGTTCATTCTCTTCATTTCTACTAAGAATTCTCGATGTCTTGTGTTCTTTGGCCTTCAGAATCCCAAGTGAGGGTTGCATTGTGATGCAGTTGGGTCATTTCCTCAGTGTGTTCAATCCACCTCAAGCAGTTTCTCCTAATTTATTCCTCTGTTGGAATCTAGTTTGTTCTAACTCACAGTAGCTTGTTTCTAATAGTGTCTGCCCAAACTGTTAATAAACGCTTGTAATGGCTTTGGTAGTTTTCCAAGTTTTCGCCCCATACAGTAGAACTGTCTTGACATTTGCACTGAAAATTCTGACTTTGGTGTCGGTTGATAGTTATTTTGAATTCCAGATGTTCTTTAATTGCAGAAATGCTGCCACTGATTTGCCGATCCACGCATTCATATCTGCATCAGATCCACCATGATCATTAATCATGCTGCCCAGGTGTGCAAAGGTTTTTATATCCTCCGAAGCTTCTTCGTCAACAGTGATTTAGTTGGTGCATGTTGTGTTGTATCAGAGGATCAATGTTCCCTCTATTGTGTATGTTGAGACCAACTATCTCAGAGGCTGTTGCTGCTGCAACACCGGTTGATTTCTGAATCTAATGTTGTTCAGAGCAGTCCATTTTATCCCCCTGCTTCTCCTCAGATGCTGACGTCTTCATAATCCAGTCGACCGCCAGAATAAAGAGAAAAGGTGAAAGTAAGCAACATTGACACTGGTTTTCACTTAGAATAAATCTATGAGCTGTCCTCCATGCACGCGTTTGCAGTGTAATCCATCAGAATAATTCCGTATGATGTAGACTATCTTCTAAGGAACGCTGTGGTGTGGAAGAAGGCTCTATAGTTTCATCCTGTCCAAGCTGTTGAATGCTTGTCATAGTAAATTAAGTTGATGTTCAATGACGAATCCCATCCAACTGATTGTTCCATAATGATGCGTAGTGTCGCGATTTGGTCGGAATAAAAGAGGATGCCTATATGCAAGTTATTAACAGAAAAACAACGAATGGAGGATATCAGCACTGAACGCCAATTACTTGACCAAGACAGACATGATTTTTAAACAATTCCGGTTCATAAGACTAACAAAAACCTTTCGTAACCTTAAACCAACTTTTATTTAAAGCGTCAGGAAAACAGCTTAAGACAATACAGATAATAACGAATATTACTAAGTAGCACTACCTGCGTGAGATACTTGGTCATCAAGTATATCTTGAACTGTAAGACGAGGACGAGTGGATAACGTGACAGAGGCACCACAACTTTTTCCATCCATAAGATCTCCTGGTAAACACGATCCCGCATCAGCGACTTCAGACCCCTTGAATCCAGAAACGAGGGTATTTGGACATTCGGATTCACTGCCTGTTTCACTACATAGATCTATAAATCAAGAACAATGGCTATAAAACAGGATAAATGCTAATTCCAAAAAGACAAGGAAGGTTTAATTTTGAAAGTCTGGACGAAATCAGTTTGATGACTGAAATTGTTTCGCAATGTAGAAAAATAATTAAAGCTAAAGTCTAAAATTCAAAACAGGCAAGAACTGAACTGTGCTGAGCGTGGTATCGGTTCATACAGTTAGAAAAATCGGAAGATTTAAGTGTGATGTGTCTGCTAACATAAGGACCAGTCTACTGAGCAGCAGTTTGCTCCGTCCTACTTTATGGCTCTGAACCTTGGCCAGTAAGAGTAGAAGATATTTGTAGGTTACTGGTTTCGATCACAGGTGTCTCCGTTGTATATATATATATATATATATATATATATAATATATATATATATATATACACCAAAATAGTAAATTGACCTTATTTAAGCTCTCCGCTCGAACACCACTAGTCAAGTGACAGCTTATGGCGGACTGTCATCGGAACTCATTACTTCAAATGGTGCCCGTCAGGGCTGTCCACTCTCCTCATTCTTGTTTAACATTTTCATAAACATGCTGTTAGAGTTAACATTATCTTCGTCTGAATTTTCAGCAGTGGACCTTTTACGAGACACGCTTGCTGACTTGGAGTATGCTGATATCATAGTCCTATTCGGTGAAGACACTGACAAAATGCATAATCTTCTGACTACCCTACAATGCATGTACGGGATGCGATTCTTCCCGTCGAAATGCAAAAGGTTGCTTCAGGTTTGGCTTCCGTCGGCATCTGAACTAGTGGTAGAGAGTGAAGCAACTGAAGGTGTCGACCGCTTCACCTATCTCGGGAGTCGCATCAGTGCTGATGGCCTGGTGACTGACGAAATCACAGCGCCGATGCAGAAAGCTCGATTGGCTTTTGCCAACTTGCGTCACCTACGGTGCAGGAGAGATATGCGTTTGCTAACTTAAGGACCACCCCAGAGATGGAATCAGGTAACAGAATTTCATCGTTGGATTTGCTGATCGTTTGAGCTAATGACAGAACAAGGCTCGTGTACATCGGAAACCAAGTTATAGTCTTCAAACCGTTAATTTTAACAGCAATGGCTCAACGAACTCCAAAGTAAGCTGTGTACAAACCCTGAACAGAAGAGCGAAAATGCTGAAGAACCGCCAATACATAAAGAAATGAAGAGGAATACCTAATAGATTTTGGAAAACGCCTAACACTCACTTCTTATAGTGTAAGCTGTTTAGGAAGTCAATAGAGCTTTAACTGAACCACCCAGTCAAAGTACATCTCTGTGACCATCAAACGGTTAAAACAATTTACAGAAAATTTAGCAATGGCAGGAGGGCATCACATTTGAAAGTGGATCATAAATTCACTAGTCAGACTTTGCAGCATAAACATACATACAGAAGCGCAATAAGCGCTTTCAGAACCAAAAGTATTACGTGACTTTGTTAACCCAAAAGTTGTAAACCTGTTATTTATAACGAATGTAAAAAGTTACTAAAATCTTGAGGATCTCTATTCTTACATGATCTAAGCTCCTCGTTACTTGTGACCGGTTGTTCGCATGAATTTGACTTTGGTTGTCTGTTTACAATTATCATAAGCTGAATACGACATAAAGGTATACCAAATTTAAGACTTGTGTCTAAGTAGAATTTCACATTTCCCATCGCAAAAAATAAACTTGAAATTACTGTTTGGTTGTGACATGCAAAAAGGATGAATTAATAGAATCACAACTTTTGATCTGGCATAAACCCTAAAAACATGAAATGCTTACGACATTAGCGAGCAAGATTACATGAAGGAAGCTATTATAATAAAAAAGACAGACTAACCTTCTTTTTCCAGTGTAGGACTAAGGCTTAGAGCAGCCAGGTCAACAGGAGAGACAGCTCTTTCATAATGGTATGGATTAATGCAAACACAGTCCTGTTTCAGTTCGAAGCCGAATAAACAGTGTTTGGAATGTCTTAGCTCATTTCGATGCAAATCAGGCCAACGCCATATTCGAGAATAGATAATGTGGGGGAGGCATTTCCTTCCAGCAATCTGAATAATACGTGATATAACTAGAAACTTAATAATACCTGCATACGCCCGTCCAAGGTTCTTTGTATTGTTACGCACTTACTTGGCTGGCTGCCATTCGTTGTTATGGCAGTCACTAAGGATTCTAAATCTTCTTGTCTTTCTTTTAATTTTTTCACAAGGCTCTCAATCGCACGTCTCGCAAACTCTTCTGATTCTCCATTCTGCCTATGACACATTAGGCTGTGAACCATTAATGTCACTAGATCCGGATTAGCACAATCTAACTGGGAGGTATTGGATGACATGGCACATTGCCGAACTCTTTGATTGAGCTGATATGGATTCGGCTTTAAAAATAAAAGACCAATGTAAGTAAACAAAAAGGATATGGAAAAACGCTTTGGAAAAGTCATAAAGAACTCACAAGCACCAACATGAATTATATTGCATCAAGAGTTAGTCCCCAACGGCCTTCACGCGCCTTGCCAATTACTGTTGATAAGTAAAAACAAACTACAGAATTATTAGCACTAAGCAAACACTGTTATCTTCTACATATGATCTGTGGAACAAATATTTCCCTAAAAACATTTTTGTCTCAATGATAAACAAAACATATGTCAGCGGATCTTCTTTGATCGACGACGCGTTGAAATATACATGTAGACGATTCAACGAATGGTTTTGTGTACCGTTTCCCGAATTTTGAATTTCAACACGATCTGAATATTATGGAGGCTATAATGTTTATTCACAATAGATGTCCGTCAATAAAACACATCTGCTAGCGACAAACAAAAAAAGAACGTAGATGTAGACGTCTCTCCACCTATATAGGTACGTTTACTAAGGATATCTGAAATTACAATATATCAGATAGCGATACTAGGCATTTCTTTCTTGATCAATTGGGTTCGAGAATTGTAGAGGTAAAGGGATCGCCAAAACAGGTGGTTTTGTAAGCCTTCAAAGATGATACGAGCCTCATGCGTTTTGCTATGCTGACCCATGTGTTATGGGAAGGAGTCGCCCATTCACAAAACAAGTAGACTGTTGACCGTCGTCACCCACATGTCTTCTGTTCTTCAAACGACATTGATCACACCATGCATTTTCATCGCCTCTCATTCATACATCTGCTAATAACACCTACACTGCTCAATGCTTTGAGCTACCTGACTGTCATCCCGTGAAAAGTATCCAACACAACCCTACCTAGAAACACTAGGGGACGCCTTGCGACGCATCGTTTGGGAAAATAAATCGACCTAGACTTCATATACCATGAAAAATACCATTGTTCGAATGTCTTCGCATCGTGCCTTTCCTAACTTCCGGTTTCACTTGTTTCGAGGATACTTTTGAAACAAGACGGTCAGGAATGCAATGTTGTTACGTTCTGTCTGTCGGTGGTGTATCTGTGGCGAAGCTTCTGATAATGCATGCTTCTGCTTATTAGGATATCAGATACACGTGAAAGTATTTGTCGAACTCGATGAACCTCTATGCAACTCATTGAAACTGTCCTACAGTCTAACCTATCGAAAGCGAGCCGGCTTCCAACAACTAGTATAACAAATGAATACCGGAAGGTTTAATGCAATACTTGGACAAGAATACACTAGAATTAATATTTAGGAGCAATTCCTAATTCAACCTCATAAACCTCAAACACAGTGAAAATTATGTCTACGATGGAATCAGCTCCTAATTATACGATTCTTGAAGCTGAATATACCATATGTGATATGAATTATATTCAACGTTTGACGCTCAGGTAAGGTTAGGAAATATAAATTTGGAAACACTTATTATTGGCTGCAGAGCTCGTCCCTGCAGGAGTGTTTACCTCACGTAACCATTAGGTCTATATCGAATGTCTCATTCTATCCCTAACCTTGATTGGATACATTTAATAGTATTTTCTGCTTTTGTATCAGCAGGTACAGTGTTAATAATTTGTAAGTATAGAAAAACAAGTACTTTTCCCAGTCCTTTTATCACCAGTAAACACTTATTCTATTGATACAGAATTCAATACTTTTCTTGATAAGTATGTTCTGTCTCACCAATGTTAGGACTGATGGTAGTTAGAACAGCGTTTTCATTCGTGAGTATAATATTAAACAAATATGAGAATTTTACCCCCTAATGAAGTCTATTTTAACATTTTCTATTCCTAGTTGATTTCCAGTAAGTCATTTTCACAACTGACTAAATTTTCTCTCAGGTTGGAACTAATTCATCACAGCCCAAATAAGCCTCGGGGCAGGTAATGTAACGCAGTTCTGTACGACATGAAAATCTGGCAAAAAATGCAACGTTATGAGGTTGGATGCAAACAGCGTTGAGGATGATGCCTCGAACTGCCTTATTTGATCCATCACTAGACCGAAATTTGTACTATGATGTTCACATGACAACAGAAGACAACGCGCACTGTTCGAGTCCAACGTGACTTCATCTAAATAATCACGGAAGAAAATCTGTTTTTTCTTCAAAGATTGAGTTATTTCGAAATTATTGCCTCTGTTTACATTTGCAAAAATTTAAAATCATAAATCAGACTACAGTGATCATACCACGGTGGAAACATTGTGTTAGACCTAGCTGTTTCGGTCAGATGCTGTTTTTATTTGCTTCAACGGCAACATACACACATTCATTCAATTGAAAACACAGGTTTCATTGAAAAGGTACTGAATAAACGGATTTTTCGGCTAGTAAGTGTGGAGGTAACGTTGCTGTATTTGTGTTCACTAAATTTATTATTATTGCTTACTTCAATTGAAGTAAATTTTTCGTAATTCGCCATTTCAGTTGCCTCCGTCTAATTTTTTGTCCGTGTTAAAAATTTCTTCATAGCGTTACTGGCAGTTCTTACAATATAACAACTAGGCAAACTAGTGGACATCTAAATCTCAAGGTTATTAACAAGTTGAGAATCTCATTTATAAGCGACGGAAATGTAAAGCGGCTGTCAGATACTTTGAAATTTAGGCAAAATTCATCAATTTAATTCAGTTTTACGATGTTATGAGGTGCCCTAACACATGGTCTGCCTATCTTTGATAAGAAATAGTGGGATGGATAGTGTGGAATGCAAAGCATCTCAGCCAAATTATTCCGTTGTTCAAGGGTCACAATATGATGAAAGCTCAGCCTCCTCCATATAGAGTAACATTAGATTCGGCACAATTTGCTTAAGAAACCCTCCTAACATCTCTGAGATCGGTCCTTCCTATTCTGAGTCAGGCACGAAAAGCCACGGTTAGTACGAGCATCTTTTAAACATCAATAACTACTCGAATTTGTAAGATTTTTTCATAGTTAATGTAACGGACTTTAATGTTGTCGTTTACTTGAGTGTTAGTTCTAGAACCTAGGGTATTTCTTTTCTTAGTAGTGACTTCGTTTGTAAGATAACAAACCGGTCTTAAATCTATAGGACTAGTTTTCGCTCGTAGTTTTCTCTTTTATTTCATTCTTGATTTGTGCAGGTTTGGATAAATTGAAGTCAGCTACGGTAATCTCCTCGTAAGTGTGCACATTTGTGAATAAATTCTTGTAAAAAATTTCATAGTTAGTGTTGAATAGTTTCATAAAGTTACACAAATGTTGAGGTGGTCCAAGAATCAAATACGTGACAATGATGTTGTTTTTGAACAACTTACCAAATTTATTTTCACCTTGATAGTTTGATCTGGCTAGTAATAACCATATGGGTATTTTTGCCAAAAGCTGGCCTGACGATTTCATCTAAGTTTAGGACTGAGTAGATTGTTTTTCGTACCACCGTTTTATTGTTATTAGTTAAAATGAAAAAAAACTATTGAGTCCTCCAACTTATGTCTTAAATGTGGCTTTTACTATTTACTTTATGCCTACGTAAAGAACGCATAGAAGAGCAGTGTGGAAGTAGTTAAATCACTTCGTAATCAGCCTTAAGCAGCTTCTTCAGAGAGAGATGAAGCAATCATCGAAAATAATAACAGAATCAAATCAAAGCGAAATTCAATTTCAGCATTTAAAGAAATGTGTACATCAGTTATTGGAAGCTAGTGTTGAACAAGAAAGAGTAAGTTTGATTGCGAAAAATAATACAGTTTTAACAAATATTTCTCAGCTTTTCCAATACTACTTCAGTTGATTGTCTTTATAGTTGTGTTAATGAAGTAAGGTAATTAGGGTCAATATAAAGTCCCATAAGTTGATGAAACTCTCTAGTAAATTGATGAAGTAATTAACATTCACATGTTGAGGTGGTTGAGATTTGTAATACGTATACCTAGCCTCCGGTTAACTCGACAGGCTATGTTGTGTGTTGTGGCGGTAGGCTGGAAGAAAGCTAGGAACAGCCAAACCAAAACCTGGAACTAATTCATGAAGTTAGTAGATGTAGACTTCCTGGTTGTGGTCCGTGAGTCAGTTGTAATCGATGGTTAGGGACCTTGAACGACACGGCTCAAAATCGTTTGCAGTGGCGCAAATGCATCCATTCTTTGTCTTGCCTCAAAAAGCTACGCGTATTAAGCGAACTTCAGCGTAACCCTTCTCTCTATCTTTCGTAGAGAAGTCGCTGTTTACAAAATCCGGCATGAAAAGCGAAAGTTTTGAGCTTTCATCAGGTTTTCGGGTATGGACGACCTACATAGGGAGTTGGAAAACCCTGGTTCCAAACCAGTGGTTTTACATGGACTCCAGGATCCTGATGGAACGAATGGCGTATGGATCTATTATTGCTCAGCGGCTATCATGGGAGTTCAACTTCCGATGTTGCTCCACTGCCCTTTATGCAGTTAAAAAACGTACAAGAAATTTAAAGTGAGAGAAGGCAGCAGGCCCTGACAGGCTTACCCTGAGATTTTTGTGGACAGTGGACCAGTTTTAGCAGTGAGATTACCTGAAATCTTAGGCAGAATTTGGCTCTGTTGATTGCGACGTTCTCTTCAAGTGTTCGTCACTGAAATCTGTAGCAGAGAAGTACAGTAATCTGATTCAAGATCTCTGCTCGAACACCACTATTCAAGTGACAGCTTATGGCGAACTGTCATCGGAATTTTTTACTCCAAGTGATGTCCATCGGAGCTGTCCACTCTCCTCATTCTTGTTTAACTTTGTCACAGACATACTCTTAGAAATAACACTTTCCTCGTCTGATTTTACAGGAACTGAATTTTTACCAGGAAACTCACTTGCTGACTGATGATGATATTAGAAAACAAACTGATTTAAGAAGTTGGCTAAATGTTTTTCTTTTTTAGCTTATGTGTGCACTGAATGAAAGTTTGGAAGCGTCTATCAAAGAAAACGGAAATTATAAATTATTTTTTGAGCGCATCAGTTCAGCTATGCAAAAATTTACTAACAATAATAATTTATCAGAGCCAATAGAATTCAAAATTCAGGATATTGAATATGTACATATTCGTTTTTACGAATTTTTAAAAGTAAGTAGAGTTGACAAGCGAAAAATTACTTTTATTATCAGTAAACAAAAAATTAGTTTGTTCATTATCTAGTTTAGATTATTTATAGATCAAACAATATCATTCTTTTAGTGCTGCAGACGTTACTTTTTCTCATATTAGTGAATACTAATGTGTAAATTATTTTTACAGACAAACTTTTAACTGCAGATATATCAAAGTAAAGCAAATTATTTAAGCAAATTTCTGCCACTAAGAGCCAAAATGAATGTTAGATAGTACAAAAATCAGACTGCAATAAAATGCTGAACTGCTCTAGACCCATAGGTTAAATGACATCAACTCACTAGATCAGTTGTAGGAAGTTACTGAATTGAATCTCTGTAGTGTACAACATCCTTAAGTCGTGGCTATCCCGAAAAGCTTTTTCTAAGCTGAATTCGCACCTATAATGATCTGGTAAATAATTATCATTTTTGTTTTCCCCGCAAGTGGATTTTCGATTAAACTGACAATGAAACTAAGAAAGTAATTATATATACAAATTAAGTAAAGTGATTTGAAAATTGCATCGGTTAAACTGTGACAAAGTAACGGTGAATTTCGATACAAAGCTAAAAAAAATCTTGTCCCTTTCGTCTGTTGCTACTGTAGTTCAAGTCGGTTATTCTTAAATGTGGAGTAGAGTGAAACGCTAACAAAATAATATTGTTAAGTTTTACAGTTTGTCCTTTTCCAATGACTCTATTTCTTTTCACTAATTAAACTAATTGAGAAAGATGCCAAAGCCGTAGAGTTGTACATTCCTGTAAATTTAACAGGAACCGATCCATTTAGTATGTTAAGTTTAGGTCAGAAAGAATCACTTGGTAAAATAAAGTATGTTGTTCGGTCAACAATAATAAAATGTGCTCTAATTATCCCTATGGTCTTTGAATTTTCGATTATTATTTCATTTAATATCACGCAAGCTACTAAACAATTACAATTTCGCGCGACAGAAAGTTAGCCAGTATTTTGTTCGCTAAGATTAGAAATACTACAATCTGACTTCAGACTAAAGTGTACGCAGAGGGTTTCGAACCTGACACAATAAAGATGGAACCCAAGTAATCTAATCACTAAGCTAAGATTAATATAAATAACTCATGAACTGAGAAATTATTTATCTAGAAAATAAAATTCTTACCTCTAATACGTATTTATTTCATGACCTTAGACATTAGAAGAGAAAGACTATTCACAAAATATGGAAATCAGAAGATTGAAAACCACAATAAATGTAATCCAAAGTCAACATGCAGCAGAAATTTTTAGGATTGAAGAAAAACACCAGTCATCGTGAGTGTTTTAAATGCTTTTGGTACGACTATTTTCCAGATATATTTAATTAATGAGTCTATGGTATTTCACACTCAGATATATTGTATGCTATAAAGCGTCGAAAGAATGTGAAATAGTCGGCTGTGCTTGCATTAGGAGACCTAAGCGGACTGTTTTACCTTTTAAATTATCGATTAAGAGATCTCGTTCTATTGAGAACAATAGCAGTAGTAACCGTCCTATTCTGTACTATATGTTTGGTGTGACACTTAATTTTCTTTGAGTAAGACAGCAGCCTTTTATATCACTACTTCAAGGACGAATTATCAGATGATAACATTACTTTACTACAGAAAATCCGTTAATGAATAAGCATTTTGAATTTCTTCTTCCTTGCATTCAAAGATAAGTTAATAAAACCTAACTATCGACAAAATTAAAAAAATACAGATTATTGGTTTAATCACGTCTTGGGATCCACTTTTTACAATAATCTAATAGCGACACAATAAATTCTAAAAATAGTGACTCTTTATCGCATTCACATTGAAGAAATCTACTTAGCAGCCTTTGAAAATCAGACCTTAACTAATCTCATAGTTTTCTACTAAATTTACTTATATAGTCTACGGAATTTAATCCATTCAACTGAAGATTCATGAACGTCATTTTGTCAACAAAAACAAATCAGCTTCTTCACTGACGCCAGTAAGCATTAAGACATTTATTGGTTTAATTTGGAAACTAGGAAATTAAGCGGTGTCACTTGAAATCGATATACAGTGAATTACAACCTGCTATTATTATTCTCTTAAAAAGTATGCTCTTTCGTGGATACAATGAACAAAGTTTAAACTTTATTTCAATGAATCTGTAGAAATTTTTATATTTGGATACATTATTTCGATTGAGTCATTCATTCTATTATAATCATGAATTTTACTAGAAACGTTTTAGATGTGATATAGAATGTGTTTTTCTCTTGGAATAGTGAGTAGTAAATATTGTACGAGATATATGTGTGGGTGTTTTCGTTCTAGCGTTCAGAAACAATGCGAACAATTGCAAAATCAATTGAGTGATGCTGTTGTACGTGCCGAACGCGCGATGCTACAAGCAAAATCTCTAGATGCAGAGGTAGCCGTTGCTAAGTCCAAATATGAGAAAGAGATAGCCGAAAAGAGTGAAAGAATTCAGGAGTTGGAAAAAGAATTGTCCGATTTCATATCAAAACAGAATGTAAGATTTATTTCTTACGATAAGGCTGAAAGTCTCCTGCTACCATCCAGCAGGACTCAAAGAATATTGGTTACTTTAGAATTTTCATTTCTGTCTTTGGTTATTCTTTGATTGTCAGGCAAATAACGCACTAATACGATTTTAGTTCAATATTTGCTATCCAAATAACATTTAAAGTGCCTTGAAGCATGGTCATATATTGGACCAGTTAGTTAGCAGCTGTGTTTTTTAAAATATTTTGACAAACGGCTTGTGGTCAGTAGACAATTTATTTTGATAAGTTTTAAACAAACGAAAATGTACCATGCAAATATCCATCGGGGAACGTTTTGTCGAAATTTCTGTTTTCTCAAGTTTTATATGATGTACGTAGAACACCAACGTTACCAGTAAACTGGAGTTTCATCTAATGAATATTTTAATTACCTAACGATTTCATTCTAGATAGGTCTTAGTTCTAGCTAGAACTTATTGAGAGTAACAGTTAGTGCATTGAGCCGACTGTACATCTGTATACAAATATTTTCAATCAAAGCAAACTCAGCTTTTAGCTAGCTTATGTGTTCGCTCAACACCCTGATATTGAGTGCTACCAACGATTTCCTAAGCAAAGATTTCCTACTCAAGTTATTTTTACTAACTGAATAGTGCATTGTAGTATAATAATTATTGTTCTACTTAGTTTGGAGATGCAAAACATTGTAATTTTCCACGAAAATTGACAGTAAGAATTTACGTAAAGAAATCCGGTAAAATTTCGATTTTGTTACATTAGAAAAAGTTATACAGAAATCTTATGTATTCTGTCTAATACTGTTGTAATGCTGCTACGTATAGCTATTCAGTCCTAGCGGCGTCCAATTCAAATGTCCCAATACGACCCAAAGCGCTATTTCCAAATCTCCAATATATCAGAACGCAACACCGTGGGATGGAGTTGTTTATTGGGTCGAGTACAAAAGAGAGGTAGGCAGGAGAAACGGAATTGGAATCCGAATCATGAAGGCTTACAGATAGTGCGTATTTATACATTAAGGTCGAATAGGAAAGAGCATCAAAGTCTGTGACATTGACAGTTTAGGACGGCCAATAGGAAAGAACATTTGAAATGACATTGACAGTCCGGAAGACCAGTCAGAGACAACATTGAAGTATTTGGTTTTGACAGTTAAAACGACCATAATTTCGACCAATAGGACTATACTTCTAAAAATAGTATTCTTAGGATATTTGGTGAATATCCTAACAAATACTTACTAAATGATAATTTGTTTTTTGTTAAAATGAACGTACAGACCATTCTTAATTGTTAAATTCATTCAATGAGTTTACAAATATTTGTATTAGTAATATATTTCACTCTTTATATTGTACACTATTCTAGAATTCAAATATAAACTCTAAGAACGCATTAGAATCTGTATTGAATACAACACGAAAAGAACTGATTAAGATGAAATGTGAGCGAGACTCAGCAAATAGTGAATTATTAACATTAAGTGCAAAACTTGAAGCGACAGAAGTAAGTTCACTTGCTCCATTAATGATATATTTCTAGAATGATGAGTGTAAAACCCTAAGTTCTTAAAATTTTAACAGAAAGCCACTGTTGCTTTCAACGACCATACAGATCAGTATATTAGTGAAACTCATCTAGTATGATACACAAATGTATAACCAATAACTGTTTTAACGAATGCATGAGTGAAAAAAAATTCAAATCTTGAAGATTCATGACAAAAGGTACAAAAATTAGCAAAATTATAACTATATATGATTAGAAAAAGTGAATTGTTTTATCCATGGATTGTAGCATTCTAAATACAACTACATAAATAGTTAAACGATAAACTTAGAAGAATAATATTTATCAAGAATAATCTCGTAGATCCAAGTTCGGAGATGATGAAATACTGTTTCTTGTGGAAGTTGATTCTCCATCGAAAAAAGCATTCAGCTTTTTACAAGCGATTTATCGAGAGAGTATATACGACGTAAGTCAGATCCGAATTTCGTCCACATTTCTAATAGCTCGAGCAAAATGAAGTCATAGAGAGTAACCCTGTGTATCTTAGAAACTTTTATACACTTAGTAGAATAGTGGAAATGACTATAACTGGTAAAAATAAAGAAAAAAATACTGTCAATTAAATCCACATCAAATTACTTGTAGGAACAGCTGAAATACATTCAGTTGTTAAACTTTGTCTTAATCTCATGACTCTATCATTCTAACAATTTTATTTTAAAACGTATTGAGTACTGTCAGAGTATTCACAATGCGTCATATGTATACAGACTTATATTGCAGAACTGGATAACCTTTTAAATAAACAGTTAACAATGGATCGATCAACAAGAAAGCAATTAAATGAGACGAATAAAGTTAATAAGCAATTACAAGGTTTTATTAAATCAATTGAGTTGTCAATGCGGAGACTATACAATATGATTGATAGTGAATTCAATTTCATCAGAAATTGGAACTGGGGTCAAATTTTTGAGGAACACAATATTGAAGAATTTTTTGAGAACGTAAGGTTTCTTTATTTGATTTTTAGTGATAAATCAGCTTTTATCACGATCAATGATCGGTTATAGAATTATCAATGTAATGAGATTCAGCAAACGAAATTGTCAGTTAACGGACATTAGAACGTTCTTCTCGTGTCGAGATTTTGATCATTGCATTAAGCAGTATCAGGATAATTGATGTCGATTATATTTTCTACACTTTTATTTGCTGAAGCTATTATTGACTTTTTAAACCAATCACCTGTTCACTGATTTAATTTTTTTAAAAAGATCCTTTATAACCTTGTCATTTTAGATAGTGGAGCAAATTTTGTAGCTCAGGTGGATGACTGTGGTGCAGTTTCGTACTCTGAGATGGATGTTTTGTTTGTGGAGTTTTCATTGTTCTTCTGAACAATAAACTCAGCACAAACTTCTTATAGAAATCAAGTGTTTGAATTCCGCCATGTTTGATCCGTAACTTGTCATGTCAACCTCGATCTTGATTGGTGTTGTCGACCTTAAATCTGTCGTTGTTTACACCATCATTTCGATTGCATCCCCTTTTGGTTTGTTTCTTGATCTTACGCTTGCCTATGATTTTTTTGATTGGTTGGTAAATTTAATCGATGTTGATTGCTGACTGACCTGAGTGCCAAGCCTCTAAAAATTCTCTAGTGTTCTTGATGCTCCCCCTATCCATTGTTGCCCATATGTACTGATATAAGGGAAGACATTTCGTGGCGTTTGAGGTCAGTAACAACCAATCAAGATCGATGTTAACAGAACAAGCTATGGGTCAAACATGCAGATATTCGATTACTTCACTTCTATCTGAGTTTTGTGCTGATTATATTGTTCAGAGGACAATGAAAGCTCCACAACCAAAACATCCAGCTCAGAGAATGAAACTCTACCAATTGTCATTTCAGTTTAAATGCTGAAATCAGTCTGGATAAAAATTCTGTGCTTAGTTGCTTTATTACAACATGAAAAAAGTATTTTTATATCATCATGATATGAAAAACGGAAGTTTTTATCACCTCGAAATAATGAACAATTAATAAGTGATGCAGTATAAGCTTCCAAGAGCTTAGGTTTGTATGAAAGACATTTAACAGAATGTTATACTGAACGACTAAAATGCCTAATGCTAGTTCATTTAGTCATACACCGTGTTTATAGTTACGTTCTATCAAAATCTTCATTAGATTTGTCCAACCTTTGCACCAAGCAATAGAATTGATTTAGGTACCAATATGATTGAACGAGATCTGTCTTTAACTATGAGTTAGTATTACAGTGGTACGGTGATAACAGAAACTAATAATTTAACTGCAAATAAGTTCATTGTCAGATATTCCTCTATTGTATGTGTTGAATATAAATTTAAGCACAGACTGACGTCAACCAAACAACTGATGATCCTAGAATTTCTGTCTTTCACTCCGCTACAACGCACAAATTCGTACGTACGTGCGTCAATTCAAATCGACCTACCGTATTGGCACAGTTGCAATTTTCAACTCAAATCCCATAGTGGTAGATGTAGTAGAAGTATTAGAAGTAAGGCGAAAGATAAGGGGTCGAAGATATTACTCAAGAAGTTTAATTCAGTGAGATAACTTTAGGAAGAGAAAGATAGAGGGGATGAGGAATTCACATTAAAATTTGAAAGAAGACAAAGAATACATACACCTGCGCAACTGCAAACGATTGTTAGCCATGTCATTCAATGTCCCTAACCATCGGTGACTATCGTCTCGCGGACCTTAACACAGTAGTCTACATTTATTCACGAGCTCCAGTCAGCCGTCGAAGTAGTGCTAAAGCTAATGGTTAACGCACTACACTAGTTAAACTGATTCGTCAGTGATTGTCACAAGAGGACTTTTGTCTCTTTTTGTAGACTGGGACAAACAGTGATTAGGACCAGTCAGAAGAGATTACGTCCAGTGACTAAATTCTACCTAAGATCTCATTCAATCTCACTGCTAAAACTAGACCACCATCCTTGAAAATCTCGGACGTAAGCTTATCAGGTCCTGCCACTCCCTCATCGACGCTCCTCGGATCCTGTATGCGCGTTTCGGAGATGAAGTATACATCAGTGACAAGAGATTGCAAAGTCCTAGCTAATGAAGCTCTTTGTCCCGTTCGGCGCAAGGTTCAAACATTCAAAGCTCCAATATCTAGTTTAGAATGTGATTTCAGGGGACTGGGTAATGTGGGGTGTGACATTTTTAGGGTCGACATTTTCTAACCCCTTCCTTCCTTGTGAGAAGGCAGCACTACTGCAGATGCTGGTTATCCGAAGGAAATACCCTACTGCTGTCAGACTCCTCTATAGTCAGTAGTACGACTTCGTCATCAGACCTTGAGTAGCTGCTTTTAATCGCACCATTCTCCTATCGACCTCTCTTGCAAGGTAGAACTTAAAGGGACATTCGTTCCATCGAATATAGCTCGGTTGGGTCATTCCGATTGGCAAGCCCAACCACCACGTCAAGGTAGCAGCTAAGGCTGAGTTATAATTTCATTACCCTAGATAAAGCAAACACGTAGTGTACATTGAATTTTTAAATAATTACCGTTTTCTTTTATTCATGTTTAATTGCTGTCTTTCGAATGTGAAACATTCTTAAATTATCACATTTCCAATCCAGACATCCTGAGTTTGATGCACCGTAGGCTACCGAAAATAGCGTTAAAAATTGCGACATCTATTGATTAACGAGTTAACTAATCATTTCATTCAGGGAGATATATATCCTGATAGATGTTTTTAACTTGTAAATGAATTTCAAGTTGCTTTCAATTCTAAATGTTTCTTATGTTCGAACTTATCAACTGACAGTTTATACTATTCATGGTATTATTCCAAGATAAACTTCAATTTATGTTATGTTCACTTGAGTAAAATATACTCTCCAAATAGGTGATGAAAATTATTAGTGAATTAAAAAGGAAATCAATGATGAATAGGGATAATAGATCACAAACAAAACGTCTGAAATATCAAATAGAAGAACTGAATTATGAATTGAATAAATTCAAATCAACTTTCAAGAACAATCATTGTTCTATTAGCAAATACGAAAAGATACTCGGTAGGTGAATGTTCTCTAGATCATTTGAAACTTTAAGACCTGTACTACTACTATTAACATTCGATATTTACTACTGATTCATGAAAATCGATTTTTTTCTTTTGTTATTTTTACTGATCTACCAATTACTTGGCAAGGAAAATGATAATTTTAATAGTTCCTGCTAGTTTGAGATAGAATGATTTTTCTGACTTATTATATTATCGATAAAATGAAAACTTTTTTCTATTAAGAATTGAAAATATGACAGGTTTTGCAAGTGATATTCAAAGCGATGTTGTCAAGTCAAACTAACAATGTATTTTTGTGTGTATGAGTCATTTGACCTTCATTCAATAAGAGACGAATTCAAAAGAGTAAAATGTAGTATGAAATTCCGATTTATTTATTTATTAATTACTAGTTGTCACAGCACAACGAATTATATGCTATCACTCCTATATCATTTATTGTTTGGGCTTGGCGATATGTGTTAGGCTTTCTCCATCGATTTGTCTACATATAAATAAAGTATTTTTTTTTATATGATGATAACTGAAGGCAATGACAAAACAACTGACATTTCCCAATAAATTAAAATCAAAATGTTTGTGTGATAATCAAATCTCAAATTACAAATAATAAGAAGCAAATCATTATCGCGACTAGGTTGAAAATCTGTTACATCAAATTGTTCATTTTGAATACCATTAGTATCAATGATGAACATTCAGCTTTAAAGTTTCATTAGTTTTTGTATCGACATATAACTGATGAACAAAATGCTTTGGATGAATTACGCTTGGTTAACTGTTAGAATATTCATCGAATATCCTAAAGAAATTATTTTGTCAGTCGAATCCTATTGGTCAATATTATAGGTCGTCCTAAACTATCAAGTTCACATGCTTTTAAATGTCGTTTCCTATTGGTTCGTATTCACGGCCGACCTAACTGTATAAATATGTATTGTCTGCAAAGTTTTATGCTCCTCTTCTTCTGTACAAACCTCAATTTTCAGGGTGCTTGTCGAATACACTTTCTACGCCATATCAAAACTTTTTGATACCGTCAGTGGGGGCTTCGGATGCTCGGATTAAAGTGGCCTATCGTGTCACTGGATCATTTGTCTTCGTTCTCGTTTAGCGACATAAGATGAACTCGTAATGTTTTCAAGCATGTAAACTGGTGATGAGCATAACATGAACATAAAAAAAATTTATCTGGAAAATTGGTGTTTTCATGATAGTTCGTAGGACAAGGAAAAGAAAGGAATGGAAGTAGTTTCATTTACGGTATTGAAGTTGAAGTCACAAATTATTACTACAACATCCGAACCTATCAACATACAAATTCATAAAGAAGGTCTAATTGTTAAACTCTTAGCATTAATAAATAATCTTCAATGATCGATTTGAAATTTAATTAAAACTTCTATTTTGATCTTTAATTTAAAGTTATTTTTATAAAGTTAATTAGTAAAATTAAATGTATCATTGAGTGTGTGTGTGTGTGATTTTTTCTTAACCGAAAGCTGTAAAAGTTAATGAGTTAGAAGCAACCATTTCAGAGAGGGATTATTATCTACAGATAATCAATGAACAGACTGAAGAACTATCCACCGTTAAAGCTGATTTTGAGCTTCAAAAAAGAGAGGTGAGTTTTTTTTTTTACATCGGTAACATTTTACAATCAAAATGGTTGCCTGTTCATTAATGTTTTATTTCAGATCCGTTTGAAATATGTAGTAAATCAATAAATGTAAAGTTTAACTATCACAACTTAATTAAATATTAATTATCTTTTAAAAGACTGTCTTACTTAAGTGAAACAAAAATCATTTGTAACAAACCACAAAATTAAGAAGTGAATGTTTTCAGAAAAAATATCAGAAGTGAATTTTGTTTTATCACCAACTCCAATGAGATTTCTTCCAATATGTCTTATGCACTATAACTAAGCGTCTCACAAACGTCAATGTTTTCTGTGAGAATTGTTTAACATAATAATAACCACTTATAATGTTATAGCCATTTGAAAGAGCAAGAGACTAACGAATACTATAATCACAAACACCATTTCAATAAGTTGACAAACCGTAAGTAGTTATGACATTTTGTTTGTAATTATTTAATCTAACAATAAGTTTTGATGAGGAGAGCAAAAAAGTAAAGAATAAGATGAATTCATTTGATATCGTTTGGTTCTTGTCAGCTGCTTACAACCTGCATTATTTAAAATCATAATTACAAAGTGGATTTAAATTACTCATCTGAAAGAGTTTATTTGGAAGTTGCTATGATCATACATCTGTATAGTGAAGCGAGAGTGTTAATGATTTTAAGAGACTGAATTTAATTTTGTAAGTATACACTTTGCATTGAAGAACAGTTTACTAGATTGAAGATAACAAAAATCCAAAAGGCTAGAGAAACAAGTGATTGCGTAATGAATATACGCTTGTAATAAATAAGAATAAAGTGTGTCAAACTCAGTTAATTAAAATAAGATTACTAGTCTCTAAGACAGTCGAAATAAAAAGTAACGATGTAACTGGCTATAAAGGAGTTGAAAAGGATCTAACGATATAATGAAGCAATTTTTATCACTAAAGTAAAGAAAGAATAATAACAATACCCTTTTGAACGCATAAATCAGGCTTCAGGTGCCTGATAGAAATGGCGTTAGCAAACTTTGTAAGACTGAAACTTGTTTTTATTAAACATCTGTGAAGGTTACAGGGTATCAACCTGGTGTCCTGTATCCATGAGTTGTTTGGCGATTGCCCTGTTTGAGGCTGAAGTTTCCTTTATTTGGAGTCTTTTAGAAACATGTTCAAAAAATCTCAGATATCAACTTCTTTCTGTCTAACTAATGTAGCTTTTTCGGCTAGTACACATAAACTTATGGATACAGCTGATTGTAACATGAAACGGTTGCTGTCAAATTTTGATTGGGTTCTTGAACATTTTGTTTTATACATTAGTAACAGTTTTGCTGCTCGGTAAGTACCAGCTAATGCAGTGTTAGGCCTTCTGTTGATTGTGCTAGCAAAATCATCATGTTTGCAGTTGCGGTTTAAAAATATTGGTTTTTGTTGACTGTAGTCATACCCCACTCGTATTCTGTAGATTAGAAATCATAACAACTGCTAAAAGTATGAACGTCGCTTAGTAAACCGTGGCGTTAGGTAGGTTTATAGCGCATATAAAAGGTTCATTTAGAACCCGAATAATTAACCGTTTTCAAATAAATTGATCAGAATGGTAATATTTCGATTCAATATATTCAATAAAACAATAAATGTTGATGCTTTTACTTTCTGCAGATCGTTGAATTAGAACAAATCATTTTTAACTAGCAGTATTGAAAAATACTACTCATTAGTAGCATAGTTTTTTTTGCAGTAAACTCTTAAAGCATCATTCGTTCGGCGTGTTTCCTGACAGCCAAATTTATGAGGAAATTCAATGAAACCTTATTTGTGGATGATTTGTATCGACTGATTGACAGGTGCATGCAATTTTGACTTGGGTTTTTTTCAGAGCAGGTTATTGAATGAATTAGATCTTTTATGAGAAAAGTTTTTGGTGGTTGTATAATGAAAAGTATCGCATTTCAAAATGAATGACTTAACTCAATCACAATATCTGTTTGCTTCATTTAACTAACCCATAATTAGTGTTCAGATATATATATTATTATGTACGTATTTAATTTTTTAGCTTAAAGAACAAATAGACTTATTAAAAGGACGCCATTTCTGTTCAGGAAAGTGTTTAAAATCACAACCAACTAGAACTGGTATTAATGAAAGCTGCACTATTCGATTCAGAGCATACAGAAAACCAATGTCAACAAATAACAGTATGATTTTGCATAAATGTAGATGTTTTATTATCTTATTCGTTCGATTAATATATAAATCTATAATATGATAGTGTTATTTCAAAATAATTTATCATTATTATGTTTTATAAGCTACTTCTTCATCATTTCGTGTAGTAACTATGTTTAATACAGTATGAAATTAGAAGTAGGTATAGTAATATAAGATGATATCATATACTTTCAAGCATGGTAACTTCATTTGATTTATTTATTATTGTTCCTCCAAACGCTTACCAAGTTACTTAAAATCAGCAAATTACTATTGACTGTACTGATGGTTTATTGAGATGCAATTTAGTACCATTTATTTTAGTCTTATTTAATATTGAATACTCTGTCATTTTAGTTATCAATGAAAAAAAGCATAAACACTTGTATTGTAGAAACATAATAGTTATTTCATAATGTAATATTCGACTCTACCTCTATGAACAAATAGGTTATAAAATCTATCTGCAAGTATTAAGTGTACATGTTGTCTTCGTATAAGATGGCAATTTCTCAAAACTCATATCAATCGTTTTCAGCATTATTTTTTAATAAGATCAAAATCTGAAACAGAAATATTACAGAATTATAGTGGAAATAGAACATCAGTTTCCCGTTATTACACAAGTGCAGATTAATCTTCATTAAAATGCTTAATATTGAAAAATGTTGGAAACCTACACTGAAAGTCAATCAACCCGAAATTCACCCCAGAAATCATATATCTGACTGTTCATTGTTAGTGATTTATTTGTACTATTTGTTTTTATGTCTCGATTGATGTTCAGCAGTGCGATTGATCAATCTTTTCGGCATATGTGCATCCTGTGTGAACTGACGAGATATTGTCTCTGAGTTACAAGCGTTATTAACAGAGGTGGATAATGGCTAGCAATGGAATCACACATAGTATTTACATGTAACATATTCCTTACGGTCAAATTATATTTATAAATTGTGGTGAATATTCATACAAATATCCAAATTAATGAATTCCATGAGAAAATCGTCTAAATTCTGTTTTTCTTCATAATATTTGTCATTAGCTAACATTTCCCAAACAAATAAACCAAACTCTGTCAATCAGTCAAATATTATTAGCGAGTTACAACAAAGGTTAGAAAGTTTAGAAAAGAATATGTACAAAGTAAGTGAAGAAAAAGAAAGTCTACGAACTCAAAATCAACAGTTGACAGATTTACTTCGAAGGTTAACGGATCAAAATCATCGTCTATCAAAGGTGAACAACTAATTTATCAATCTTTTTTCTTAAAGTTTGTTTTTAAATTACCATTTATCTTGATCTATTTATATGGTGTTCTAAGCAGTTATTTCCTGGTTAGCGTTTTTTTGGCAAGTTAGTTTATCGTTTGGATCGGGGCGCCAACCCCATGTCCAACTCCTCCTCCTTTATCCGGGCTTGGGACCGGCAGTAGCCTCGAAGGTTCTACTGGCGGAGTTGTTCTAAACAGTAGTCTCCTGTATATTCTGATTTCAGTCACTATGGCTGTGGTTAAGATATCGATCAAAATCAGTAGACTTGTAGTGCCTCCACATAAACTTGAGTTCCCTCATATTTAATTTGATTAAGCCTTTCCATTAACTTGTGTAACCATGCTATTTGTATAGCAACAACTCATATGTACCAGTGGTATTTTTTGTCGTCTGGTTTGTATGAGCTTGTACGACTGAGCATTGCTTACGCCTACGCGCTTACTCATCCTTTTCGCTTTAATGTTAATCTCTTAATATCCCTATAAACTCACATGACTTGTCTCGCTTGCTTTTGACCTTGTCAGTCATTTGTCCTTTTATTCATGTGTGTGCATCCCTATTTCTCTTGTCACATGTCTGTCTTATTTTATATGAGTATGTATTCTTAGTCATGCTCCATCCCTTGGAGTTGGCTCAACAGCCTTCTCCAGTTCAAGTCTCTTCTTTCGTTTTATTCGCTGCTTCTCCGCTTCGCTTTGTGGTGTGTTAAAAATAAACGTATTCAACACTTTGTGTTCACCTTCTGATTTATAAACCGTCAGACTCTGATTAGTAACGATTGTCTGGACGAGCTTAAGAACACGCAATAAATCTTCACACTACAGACTTTATTAAGTAAATGAAGATTACATTTATTTTAAAATGCATTTCCAATCCAATTAAAACTTCCATGACAAATATTTTTTTTAAAACTTCTTTTTTCAATCACTTTATTAAGGAACTTGATAATTGTATAGTAGAATCAATGCAAGTTATTAAACTGCCAAGTTATTCATCTGGTAAAACAGTTGATAATGCAACACGAATTCAACATGACAATCATAAAAATAATCAATATCATGATCATTATCCCAATGAACAAGTAGAAATGAGAGATGGTAATGGTGATCACAATGTTTGTAATGAAGAAAAATTGCTAGGTGACAATCATGATATCAACAATTTGAATAATGAAACAATAAATGAAAGGTTTGTATTTCATTTTTTCATTTTTTGTAAATTTTATTTGGACAAATTTAGTAAATGAATTTCATATATCTTTCATAGTTAAAAAATACTGTTGATGAGACTCAAAATCTACGTCGATTAAACCTATACACTATAATATAAATGTCCAGATCAACATGATGTATACAATGAAATGTAACCCGATTAGGTTTTTTTTTCAAATTTACATGAAACAAGTTCAAATATTCATTGTAGAAGCTTTTTATACGTGAAATATCTACATATTTATATTTAAGAGTGCTTTTAACCTAAGACATTAGAACGTCTTCAATTAATAATTCATACTACTTTAGGTTTTTTCAATAATTCGAAATGTTGTTCGTAGTGATTACTTATATTGAAAGATTTCACCTATAAAGAATAATGATTTCGTGGGATACTATTAAAGCATGAAAATTTCAAATAAAAAGATACTTTTTTAAAGAACACTTTAAACAAAACGAGTAAATGTTCACGTGACTAGAATGCATTATATTAAAATGGCCTTTCAAAAGGGCATATTTCATAATATCGTCAATACCTAATGAGTTTATCTTTGTTTTATCACAAATTAACTATCATTATAAGTGAATCATTTAAAATATCAATATATTCATCATTTTATCTGATAACATTAGTTCTCAGGATTTTTAGTTGTAGTCTGTGGAAAATTCAAACATGATGTTTCTTCTCCAATGTACTCTTTGATATATTTTTCTAATGAAATAAAAACAGCGAATTATTGTTGATTGTTCAAATATTGTTGAATTCGGATATGAATGCATGTTACCTCTTTAAAATCATATCTGTTAGGGGGACATAGATGAATTAAAGCATGACTACGTTGCTGCGCGCTGGTTGGCTAATTTCCTATCCAATCAGCGCCTGACCGAATCTTGGAGAACAGGATAGAAGATTCTCGTACTGTTAGCTGCGTGCTGATTGGTTAAATCTAATCCATTCGATCACGTGAATTTCTATCCAGAAGTTTCTCATGTAAATGCTATAAATAGACTAACGTCGTATTTATTTTCGCCTTCGCCATCACCTTTGGCTTCTTATTTACATTTAACCTTGCTATTCGGAATATAATCTTTTCCTGTTCAACCGTGTTTTTGATTCTTGGGAACTTGTCCAGTGTATTGTGGTCGAAGAATACTAAGCAATAGGATTTAGCCGGGAATTATCTAAGCAAGTACTACAACAACAGCGGCGACGAGGAAAAAGGAAAAAAAATTCAAGATGCCTATTTCAGATGATCAGCTTAACCGAATACAACAACAGCAAGCACAATTAGATGCACCAATGCGGTTTTTGGAGACCCTAACTCAACAGCTCAACATCCAGTGTTCGAGTCCACATGCTATTCTAAATACGTCTTGTGAAGCAGTGGCAAACAGCATACCAGAATTCATCTATAATCCTGAATGTGGAAATACTTTTCTAACGTGGTTCAAACGTTGGGAAGATACATTTAGAATTGAATTCGGTAAACAAGACGATGCGTGGAAGACTCGCTTGTTGGTGCGTAAGTTGGGAAGTAATGAGTATGCACGTTATGCTGACCACATACTACCGAAGTTACCTCGAGAGCTCAGTTTCGAGGAGACAGTAACTCAGCTGTCAGAGATTTTTGGCGAATCATCGTCATTGTTTAGTATTAGATATCAGTGTCTAAATCTGGTGAAACACAAGGATGATGAATATGCGGCCCTTGCAGACATCGTCAACAGAGAATGTGAACGGTTCAAGATACGCTAGTTGACAGAAGACCAGTTTAAATGCTTACTATTCATCAAAGCTCTTCAGTCACCGGAAGATGCTGAAATCAGAACTAGACTTTTGATTAGAATGGATCAAGACCCGAACGTTACACTCAGAACGTTGATAGATGAGTGTAAACGACTACAGTAGTATCAATGCTATTACTAGGTTAAAAGTCCAGAAGCCGAAAACATCTTGTAACAAACCATCGACGGCATGTTGGTTATGTGGTGATTGGCATTACGTACGATGCTGTCCATTCAAAAAACATAAATGTCAGATGTGCAACAAACGTGGACATAAAGCCCAGGAAGAAGCATAAACGCACTCGACATGTGGTGAAATTAGCCGAGTCTAAATCACTTTCTCTCGTAGCTGCTTTTCAAACAGACTATGACGTTCGGAGAAAGTATGTGACTATCCAGATGAACGGTGCATCAGCTCGTTTTCAAATCTACACGGCATTTGATATCACCTTAATGTCTAGAGAAACGTTCAACTTGCTGTGAAAACCACCAATGAATCCATCTAAGCTAAAAGCGCTTCAGGTGATGTGTTAAAACTTGTTGGTGAGATACAGTGTGAATTTTCTTTCAACGGAACAAAATGTGCAGGAATATGCTATTTGACAGAACGGCCAAACCTTGATCTTCTTGGTCTAGATATGCTAGAAAAACTGGGAATAATGGATGTACCCATTAACAGTGTCTGCAACTTATCGTTTTCATCATTGAACACCCTGTTACTTGCAAGGAAGACAGGTGAAAGATTACATGAAAAACTGAAGGAAAACTTTGCCTCTGTTTTTCAGAATAACCTTGGCCTCTGTACCAAGTTGTAAGCTCACTTACCATTGAAATCAGATGCGAAACCTATTTTTCGTCCGAGACGTCCTGTACCATATGCCACTCTTGAGCTGGTCAATCAGGAACTTAATCGCTTACAACAGGCTGGGGTAATCCAACCAGTCAACTACTCTTCATGCGCCGCACCAATCGTAGTGATTAAGAAAGCTAATGGAACTAAACGCATTTGTGCCGATTTCTCAACCGGTTTAAATGCTTCATTGGATGTGTATCAGTATCCGTTACCAGTTCCTGAAGATCTGTTTGCCTAGCTTAATGGTGGTACATGTTTCGTGAAAATAGACTTCTCCGATGCCTATCTACAAGTAGAAGTAGATGAAGATAGTAGAGAGCTCCTGACTATTAACACCCGTCGAGGGCTATTTCAATACACTCGTCTAGCATTCGGCGTCAAGACCGCACCGGCTATCTTTCAGCAAATAATGGATACAATGCTAAAAGGTATACCTGGGACAGCAGCTTATCTAGATGATATCATAGTTATGGGTTCAAGTGACAGTGAACTGTCAGATCGACTACGTCAAGTCCTCAACCGAGTGTTGGAGTATGGTTTCCGACTACGTGAAGAAAAGTGTATCTTCTTGCATTCGATCAAATATCTTGGTTTCATCTTAGATAAGAACGGTCGCCGACCAGACCCAGCCAACATCGAAGCCATTCAGAAGATGCCCGCACCAACTGATGTCTCTTCATTAAGATCCTTCTTGGGGTTAATCAGTCATTATGGCGCATTCCTGCCTGAAATGCATCGAGTGAGAGGTCCCTTGCATGAATTACTATCAAAGGATAAACCTTGGCAGTGGTCAGCAGAATGTCAAGCATCTTTCGATAATCAGTCACCGCAAGATACTGAAATCAAAACTAGACTTTTGATTCGAATGGACCAAGACCCGAACGTTACACTCAAAACGTTGATAGATGAGTGTAAACGACTACAAAGTATCAGACACGACAACATGTTGATCGAACAGGTAAATCCTAATTTAACCAGCAGTAGTGTCAAAGCTATTACTAGGTTAAAAGTACAGAAGCCGAAAACATTTTGCAACAAACCAAAGTCGGCATGTTGTTTATGTGGTGATAGGCACTACGTACGGTTCTGTCCATTTAAAAAACATAAATGTCAGATGTGCAATAAACGTGGACATAAAGAAGGCCATTGTCAACCAAATCGTACGTCTCAGCCCAAGAAGAAGCACAAACGTACTCGACATGTGGTGAAATTAGCCGAGTCTAAATCACTTTCTCTCGTAGCTGCTTTCCAAACAAACTATGACGTTCGGAGAAAGTATGTGACTATACATATGAACGGTGCACCAGCTCGTTTTCAAATCTGATATCACCTTAATTTCTAGAGAAACGTACAACTTGCTGGGAAAACCGCCAATGAAGCCACCT